GTGATCATTTTAAAAGCTTCAGTCACATTTGTGTTAGTATGACCCTCAATGTCAGACTGCCATAGCTTACAGGATGTGAGCAATCAGGTCCCAGTCAGCAGCTTCAGGTTATTTCACATCAAAATGCAACACCAAAAAAACTACATGAATATGTGAAATTTTTGCATGCAAATTTGATCAAACGTTTTCACAGCAAACACAATAATAAATTCTGGCAACTCATTGAGAAAACATTGCATACGGATAGAAATTGTAAAACTGATGACATGCACTAACATGAGTGACAGTGTGTTTTTCATGTTTCTTTTGAGCAAACAAGTGAAAAGAATAAGGTGAAGATACAGCATTCCTCTACTTCTACAGTAGCCTGAACTTTACAACGTGTTTCAGATGGTACTTCAGGATAACCATTGAAATCATGGCAGCAACATCATCTATCATCAGTTAATTAGCCAGAAAGATAAAACTGAGTCTATTATTTATTTTTAGCTGGATTTTTATTAGAAATTTATTGTACACTGACAGACCTATGAATCAAGGAAAAAAAACTTTAAAAATTAAGCAAAAACCAACATAAACACAAGAAAACAGAACAGCTGCAAACAGCTCAATATCCCCTTTGTCATCTAATAATAAGACAGGCTACTAAGGACGAGCAGATTGATACTGATGTAGCAGTTCTTTCCATGAATGTTTTCATTTTGAGTCCAAATTCAGTGTTTTTTACCATGTAATTTGGGCCAGCAATGAATTTCAGCATCTGCGGTACCAAACTTGTATCTAATCAAAATCGGATCAAAAAGAAAATCAGTGGTACTGTCAATCACTAAAGGCTAGTGTTGTGTACCAAATGAAAAGTTTTCTACCTATTCAAAAAAACTGATCACATGTGTAAAAACTGACATCCTATTGGTCATTCATTTTTTTTAACGCGTCCAAAAATTGCAAAAATCGATTTCTCTCCAAATAAAAATATGACGGATCACAACGATGAGAATTTGTCAGATGTGGTATGACAGCCTTCACAGACATATATTTGTTCATTTTAGAATGATGTTTGTTTTTTCGTGCATTGAATGACACTGTGTTGAATTCTGTATGGCGAAGGTCAGACATGGCTCTTGATACTGATGGTTCTCCTTGTTTTTGAGTAAAATTCCTTTCACCTTCTAATGGATTTTAATATTTTCTCTAGACCTTGTTGGCTGGACAGTTCCTTGTGGTAAGTTTAAGCAGTGACAGTTACAGTAGGCTGTTGAAACACCATAGTCTCCGTTTCTCAGTTAAACCTTGCAGGCACTCAGGACTGGACTGGCCATCTGGCAAACCTCTGATCTTATAAACTCTTACATTGCTTTCTGTTGGTATGAGAAGCAGTGTAACATCAAATGTAACAATGTGAAGTAATAGATCACCTTCAGTAGTAAAATGTTACACAGTTTATAATGCATCATGAATTGTTCTTTCTTCACTATGGCCAGTTGCCTGGCCTGTGAATTATGTGTTTGATCTGTATAAGATATTATGACCAGGGCATGTCATTTGGTAAGTGGAAGTGCTCAGTTATGATAAACCCATCTTCCTTTCAGAGATCACTGCCCCCCCCCCAGTGTTACTGACCAAACGTGGTTCCAGTAAGAATAAGACAGGCAAGTAGGGACGAGCAGATTGATACTGATGTAGCAGTTCTTTCCATCTGAATGTTTTCATTTTGAGTCCAAATTAAGTGTTTTTACCATGTAATGTAAATGTTTATATTATTATAAGGAGCAGGATATGAGCTACAATCAGGAAATATTGCCCATAACTCAAAGAAGACCCTCTGCCTCCTATCACTGGCCAAAGAAGATTCCAGTAAGTCAGTCCTGTTCATTTCCATAATTATACAATAAATGTGATATTTTTGTGAACCTAAACAACTGACCCATGATTGTTTCTCTGACTGTGGTCCAGAGCATGTGAGTGGAGTAGAGCGGTGAGAATTTCCGCTCCTCGCTCACTAGGCTGTTGGCTCGGCCCGCTTCTCCGCTCTAATTCGCACTAAGCCGCTCCGCTCAACACCGCTCCTCGCTCCACTAAAATTTCCTCCCGCTCCAGTCAAATCGCTTCACGCTCGCTCCAATTTAAAAGAGGGACAAATAATCTGCATGCCTAACAAATGTCACCTTAAACCGAAGCCTTATGTCATAAAGAAATATGAGCAACGGCAACATTGCCACTCAGAAAATATTTATCTTTAAGCAACATATAGGCCTAGGCAACAACGGACACGTTTGGCAATGGCATTCCACACAAAAATAGGCTTAAAAATAAAGGAATCAGTGGGCTTAATAGCCTAAAGAATATACAGGCTAAGCATCCACGTTTTAAATTCCTCAATTTTTTTCTGTTGACGCTGCTGCGTCTCTCTATAAAATATCTGACAGCGTTACGTGAAAATTAAAAAATCATATTAGAATGACAAAACGAGTTTATTTGATTACCCATATTTATTTTATAGGCTTTTATATTTTAATTTACTTTATAGACTTGATATACTACAACCATATCAAATTTGCTCACGTTTTGCTCTGGCTTCCGCTGGTTCGCATAGCACACTCTCGTGTTTCTGAGAAAAATGATTCCAAAGTGAATCTTTACTCACTGAAACAGTTTCCCCACATTGTTGTTTTTGCTCTACATTATTGTCATCAATACGTTTGATAACAATATTACACTTGTATAATCTATCAGTTTCCTTTGTGAAATACTTTACGAATTCTATTCCATTTGTGTAAGTCTTGATAATTGTACAGATGAATTCTGGGTAGATTTGGGCACACCTCAGAATCGTAGGGTGAGCGGTATCGGAGCGAAATTGAAGCGAGACAGAGCGACCGCTCCAGCCTCAATTAAAAAACCGCTCCGCGCTCTGACTAAATTAAGCACGTTACGCTCCACTCTGCTCACATGCTCTGCTGTGGTCACATTTCCAGCTGCACTTATGTAAGTATTTGTTTCCTTGAAACAATGTAGCTTATATCCCCTCCTTTTTCAGTGATTCAGGGAGAGCGTTTGCATGTTCTCCAAACATTCTGCTGTGTTGTGATAGCTTCTGTTTTGGTGGTTGATGTTATTTTATACAACTGATGAGTCCAGAGCCTGATACCAAGAGAAAAGCACCTCTGGTCCTGCATTGAAAATACTTAAGTTAACTGGATTTGACTTTAAAAATATGCAAGTGAATGCATTACTCTGAGAATGTAAATAATACTATCCCCAAAGTGTTACCACAATTGCAACGACTGACATTCAAACCCAAAAACAAGCATGCACTTAATTATTATTAATATTTCTACCCAAGGCTTTTACTATATATCACACATCTGTTTGAAGGCTGTTATAACAGAAAATGCATGTAGAGAATTTAGTCCAAGCTTGTATCTTAGGTGGGATATTCTGGGAGCTGTGTCCAAAGGAGTGGAAGGAACCTTTGGATAAAACACAACGTAAGTGAGTCTCTAGCTATTATCTTGAAATTCAGGGTGTGTTGTGATCTGTTCAGGACAGCTTTGTGAGTAACAGAAACAGCCCAAAATGTAATTTACCCAAAAGTGTGATCACAGTCTAACTGTATAACTTGCACTAAATCATGCATTCTTTGTGACTTTATGAAATGTGAAAAACTGCATTGACAGTTCTGCCTAATTGTTATAAACAGACACACTATGCTTACCAGCAGTTCACCATATCAAGTCATGTCTAATTGTTCATAAGACTTTGCAGCTGCAGTTGAGATGACAGATGAGCAAATGAAGACCGCATCCAGGGGTGACGCTTCATATATGATAAAGAGTGTGACTCTGCAATGTAAGGAGCTTCCTGTGATCAAACATCCAGACTGATACTCTAGGATTTCCATCGATGATTATTTATTTCATGAATTAATATTAATAAGCAGATATGAGGGTGAACCAATCTGCCTACAGTAAATTAAAGCATTTTAATATGCCTGTTATTTTCCTGCCTCACTTAGCTGCAAGATTAACGAATCCAACCATAACTCGCCAGTACACCATGAAAGAGAAAGCAAGGAACCTGATCAGTGGTGTGATCCATTATCTTCTGTGAGTAGATGTGGCTCCAGCTTTCTACACCACTGTATCTTCACAGCACCCTGTAAAGTTCTTCCATGGATCTCTTGGATGCAAACAGAGTTGTACATCTTTAAAACCTGATTTATTTTTAATTTGAAATCACTGTTATTGACTGTTGTATTTTTCATTGTGTTTGAATGCACAGGCAGTGCCATGGCTCAGTGGATAGCACTGCACTCTCGCACTGCACTCTCGCACTGCACTGTCACACTTCTAGGTTGGAGTTTCCCTCGCTTTGCCCAGTAGCTCCTCTCTGTGTGATGCAGGTTTCCTCTGGGTACTCTGGTTTCTTTCCACAGTCCAGCTATATGTGGCTAGGATAAGTCGTGTTTTATAATGGCCATAAGTGTGTATGTGTGTCTGATCATATATATAATATATTGTGAGGACCAAAAGTCCCCACAATGTAATAAAAACCTGTTATTTTGACCATGTGGGGACATTTTTGGTCTTCACAAGGGGAAACTCAATTTTATATGTGTGTGTGTGCGTGTGATGGACTGGCATCTTGTCCTACGTGTCCCTTTGCTCCAAGCTCACTATCTCCCTGTATTATTAACAGTTATGACAGATAAATAATTCTCATTTTCCCATTACACTCCTGTCCTGTCTGTACAATGTGCCTTGTTCCACATTCCCCAGTACACAGCTGGGTACACCAGTCTGGGTCATCACAGCTGCAGAATGGCTTCATGTTGGGAACATCAGGATTCACTGACCAGGGACAGATTGACACACTTTCTCCAGCATGGTTGCTTCCAGTCTTGCATTGTCAAATGGTCCCATTTGGAACTGGTTTCATTGTTACTGTATATTTCACTGGTTTCATCTAATTTTACTTTTCAGGATATTTGGACAGAAAATCTCCAAAAATTTTGAGTGAGTGATTCATATTATGCTTTATTTTACTGGTTTGTTTTTGCATATATGTATATTTTAACAGGTATCAAGTTGGAATACATAACTCCCAGAAATTGTTTGCATAGTCACAGAAAATATGCAGTGAATTTTGGTTAATGGAGCAGATTTCCTCTCCTCACAGAAAGATCCACAAAAGTGGTCTTCCAAGCTTTGTGAAAAATGGTGACTTCATCCAGCTGCCAGTGGACCTGTGGTTCGGCCTCCATAAACTTCTGACATTAATCAAAAATGTCATGGTTGTGTAAGTGCTGAGTTTACAAAGTATGCAAAGACTTCCAGAGAGTTCTAATCAGACATGGTTAGTTACGAGGATAAGTTATAGATATTAGATGTTTTTGGCATTTGTTTTGTCCCTTTAGGTTTGTTAAATGCCATAATAATATTCTCTTGTGTTTGCTAAAGGGCTATTCAGACTGGGCTAAGGAGACTTAGTAATTTTGGCCACGGATGGAGAAAGATTGATGACATCAAAAGAGTGTTTTTATTTCCAAGTAAAAAAGCAGGTAAGTCAGATTTTACAGAAAATTATGTCATCATTTTCATAGTATTTAAAATACTGCTACTTCAGAAACAGGGAATGTGGGTATTTTCTTTTATTACATTGACTTTAGCACAGAATACCAGGACTCAGATGCAGTGGATTGGGGCACTTTCCCACCACACCAGGTACCGTACTTTTGGTACTTCAAGAAAGTACCAAACGTACTGTACAGTACTTCAAGGTGTTGGTTTTCCACTGACATAAAAACTGGTACCAGCGCCGAATGACATCACAGTGTGAGGCGGGGCATTTTGTACGAAGTTCAAAAAATGACTAGTATTATAGGACTAGACGATGTACAATATTAATACCAACATAGCATGTTATGCACGTGCAATTCTTACATCGCTAGTCAGCTAGATTAAGAACAGGTTTTTTTTTACTTTCAATTCTGTACGGACATCGTAGCGCAGGGTATTTACGTTTTGCTAAAACATTTTTACTCTGTCATAGAATAAAAGATACCTTAGCTAGCTTTGAAATTTTAATTATTATTCCTTTTATGGATCATCTAATATATGTTTAAAATCAGTTTATAGTTTACCCCTGCTACTTTTGCATAAGTGCTGCATGTGATCTCCGAGACAATATTAATCATTTTCATCCTTGCTGTTTGACTCACACGTAGATGGGTTTGTAAGAAATTTCTGAACTTATAAATACCCCAGTATTTATTACAACAAAATCACATTGCTATTACAGCACTCTGGATGCTATATGCACTATCCACCTGCTGTCCTATTATATTAAACAAAATTTCTTTTCATGCCACCCAGATTTATTTGTTGTATCTATTCTTCTGACCATATTGTAGTTTTTTGTTTTACTTTGTTTATTGTTGTTTTCTGAGTTCTTAACTGTTTTCAGGGCAGCATTTGTATAGTCTTTCAGAGGCAGGCTATTTGCATAACCAATCAAAAAAGAAAGCGTTTCAAGTTACTCCCCAATGTACTGAACTACCAAAGATGTACCCCAGCTGGTTTGGTACTTTTGGTACTGGAACTTTTGGTACTAGTACTTGACCAGAAGTCAGTGGAAAAGCGAAAGTACCAAAAGTACTGGATGAAAAGTATGGTACTTGATGTGGTGGAAAAGTGCCCTTTGTGAACAGGTAATGGGACTCTGACAGGCTAGGAACAGGGTGGAGTAAAGACATATTCACACAGTCACAGGGACTGTCCTCATTCCTTCTAGAGTGGACATTGAGTCCTTGATCCTCATCCTGACTCTCTGCTGAGGGGTATAGGGTCATCACACCCTAAGTACCTTTCTCCTTCTTCCAGTGTACATCTCTGAAAACTGGAAGGATAACGCGTTTTTTGGGAGCCAGTTCCTTAATGGATGTAACCCAGGAATGATACAGAAGTGCACTGAAATCCCAGAGAAATTTTCTATCCCAGAGATAACAAAAAAATATTCTAACATCAAAGAGCTCATCAAGGTGGGACCATCAAACTACTTATATTTTCAGTTCAACAGATCATATTCATGTTAGCTGGTTATACTAGAATCAACATTAATTTAATAGGTCAATCTCTTAACCAATTCTGTAGTTAAGGGAAAATTCTACTTATTCATTATTTTAATTGATATTTTTTGTCTTGTTTGCTTAGAATGGGGAAATTTATATGGTTGATTATGGACTGCTTGATAACGTTAAAGAGGGCATCATTGATGACCATGAGCAGTTTCTGGCTGCACCAGTCGTACTTCTTCAGGAGATGGAGCAGGGACTGATGCCCATCGCCATCCAGGTCATGAAGGTTTATTCATATGGCACCCCTTTATTGTAATCGTCACACCCCGCATTCCATTCCCCTAGTTCCCTCCATTGTGTGGCTCTACAGCCCTTTTGTGGATCACCCCAGTGCATCTCGTCTGCTCCCTCGTCAGTGGTGTATATACTGCCTCCCTGTCTTGAGTTCCCCAGTCCACTCATTGATATTACTGTCTGCTTGTGCTCCTCAGCTTACCCCACGTTCTCTCCTGATTCTCCCTACCCTGTTTTGACCCACTGTGGTCCATTTTCTTTGGCCTTGCCTGTTGTTTTTGTTTAAATAAAGCCCCTTTTGTTTTTCCCCATGTCTGCCTTCGTTTCCGTCCTTCCCGAGACGTGACAGTAATACACTGAACGGTTACGCTGATGTCCATTTTCTGCACTTCCACAGTTGAAACAAAAGCCTGGTGAGGAGAATCCTATCTTCACTCCAAAGGACAAACCCGAGGCCTGGCTTCTGGCGAAGATCTGGGTCCGTAACTCTGACTTCTACATCCATGAGCTGGTATCCCACCTTCTGAAGACACACCTGCTGGCTGAGATCTTCTTCTTCAGCATCTTCACATGCCTGCATGATCACCATCCAATCCTAAGGGTGCAGGTCTTTTTTCTTAAGTGTTCAAAGAACATGGATTTATGTGGGTGATGAAAGAGTGATATGTCCTAAATAAAATGGTAACTTTTGTTTGCTTTTTGCGGCCCAACATGGAAGTATTTTAAGACACTTCCTTCCTGTGTCCACAATCAGATCTTTGCTGTCACCGGACGATACACAATACCAATCAATGTAATTGCCAGATCTACACTCATCAACGACACCGGCTTCTTTATGAAGGTTAGATGGACGTTCTGTTTTGTATTGACATGAAAATAGTCTAAAAGGTTTCCACCTTAATATGCAACAGATCATATTATGCAGCAAAACTCAGTACATGTGACAGAGTCATACAGTCTCATTTCCCTCACAGTACACAGGCTTTGGCAAGGACGCCCAGTGGGAGGTGTTACAGAGAGCAGTCAAACAACTGACATACAAGAGCCTCTGTCTGCCTGACAACCTGACGAGCCGTGGAGTGCAGAAGCTGAAGAACTATCACTACCGGGATGATGCCATGCAAATCTGGGATGCAATATCTGAGTAAGGAGCCTCCTGTTTTTTTGATGATTGTGTGTCGTGACAGATCCAATCTGTCACCACTCTGCCAGGGGCCTTGGGAAGAACAGGCCACCTTTACTATTGTACATTAGCCAGATACGTTGTGGCTTCATCTTTTTGTAATTTGCTGTAAGTGTTAAAATTATCATTACTTATTGTAAATGCCATTAATAGTAATTATGGTCATTTCAGATTTCTTCGGAAGGTTGTTGATACATACTACAATGATGACAGTGATATTAAAAAGGACAAAGAACTTCAGAACTTCTTGTACTATACTCACTCTTATGGACTTAAAATAAAAGGTAACACTGTCAATAACCTAAATAAATTTCTCTTGCTTATTTATTTAGGTAAAGTATGTATTTATATTATAAATCACAAAGAAAGCATCACTTGTGATGAGTTTGTTAAGCATTAAGGAAAGAAAGAAAGATTTGTTAATGCATTTTATTAGATTTCCCTGAAACTGTGGATACTAAAGCAGAAGCAGTCAAATACCTGAGCATGGTGATGTTTACCTGCTCAGCTCAGCACGCCGCCGTGAACCACGGACAGGTAACATGGCTGATAATCACAGTCACACCATCCATGCATGATAAGGTCTTTATTAAAGCTGTAGCAGAGTTCAGCCACAGATTTTACCCTCCCTACAGTATGATACTTACGCTTGGATGCCAAACGGTCCCACAACAATGAGGCAGCCCCCACCAAGGAACGCGGACGAGGTAGATGAGGATTACATCATCAATACTCTGCCTGATTTGGACACGACCCTGCAGGGCATGTCTGTAGCCCGGTTCCTCAGTCAAGCCACTGAAGATTTTGTAAGTGCTTATCTGTTTGCTGGTACTGAACCTTTTCCAGTTATTCCTTGATCCCTATGTTCTTATCCCTAACTGACTCATTCTGCTCTGTTAGCCTGTACTGGTAAGTGGC